TCCCGCACGAACACGACCTCGCCGTTCCACAAAACGACGCCCACTAGGACTCGAACATTGTTCCACCACGAATATGATCCTCATTAGAGGGTGGCCCAAAAATTACTTACTTATAACTCTTCCCATTTTTGATTCAAACCGATGCTGGCCTTATTTCATAAATGGAAGGATGTAAAACTACTGATGAACAAAATTTTTGAGAATTACTCTTCTTAATAGCCATACGCTGGCCGGTGAACACACCATAAGACTTGCCATAATAACAAGTCTAGAGTAGATCGGCTTGATATGTAGTGAACTATTTCTAGACTTAAGAATAAGGAGTTATTACTCGCCTAAGATTGGCTTTGAGACCTCCGTTCCTGCCCCAAAAACGCTTGCCAAATTGCTATGGTACATTTGTGCACCACTAGTAATCTACAGTCGATATCTCGAAGTCTGATTGGGCGTGTCACCGGAAATGACGTGGCAGCCACCGCACTTGATAGAAGTTGCGCGGATAAGCTGCTTAAAACACGCTTTCTGGACTGTGAGGGTTCAACGAGAAGCTTTCCCTTATGGCTGGAGATGGTTCAGAAGATAACCGCATGGAATAGGGTGCAACAAGAGATTCCTCATTCAGGAATTGTATCCAATGTTTGCTACATGAAACGACAAAGAATTCGTCCTAATACTGATAGTCTGATCTGAAAACTCTATGCAAAAGAAGATAAATCACATACATGTCGAATGCTACTCTCGATTTCCACAGCGTTTTTTGCCATCGCTGAGCTCACGGACGCTTTAACCTGGCCCCATTTCGAAGCGATTGTATCGACCCTGAAAAAAATTCTTGGTGTGCCCATAAAAAGGAAGAAAGTCGCCTCAAATAGTAAAGCTCTTCATAATAAAACATACTTTTCTTTAACTTCAATGTCAGAGAGGTCAGTGCTGTCGTCACCGTCCAAATAGGACGAAGGCCTACTTTGCCGCATTAGGAGAGATTGTGTCGCCCGTTTCTTTGCATTTCTTGATTCCTCCTCCCCATAGACCCGAGTAAGAACGTGTCTCGGTAGTTTTTCTTCAGCTACGCTCTTCAACCGTCGGGCAGCCATTGCAAGCTGAGTTGGTGTTTGCGACTCGAACTGAAATAAGGGAGTAATGTGCAGCAAATAGAAAACACTCCAGTCTGCACCCTCAAATAACCTTTCTCATTGTAATTTAAGTCGTCAAGCACCACCTTTGATGCATGAAAAACCAGTCGTTGCTCAACTATTGTTAATTCGGAAAATCTTCAGACCTTCTGGCACTCCAAAGCCAGAAGGAGAAAGAATGGGTTTGATTCGAAACATCAGAGCCCCACTCACTGCCGACGAAAACAGCTCTTACTCGGAAGATGGCGGGAGTCTCCATGAGAAATCGCGCTCTAATCCCCATTCCTTCGGAAGCCATTGGTAACAATGAAGTTACACTCATTGAAAGCCACATATCAACCAACATGTCTGCTCCTGTTCACCCTGATAACGCCGTCAAGACGTGTTCAACTTGAATGGGGCGCATCGGTAACCAGGTGCATGTACATTGGTGCATGTATCGATTAGCGTCATGGCTTATGTCGCGATTTTTCAGCGTTTCCTCCCAATTTTTTCTTATTTCCGTTTTTGTTTTCATACACTCGAACGCTTTCAACATTGGTCATTTCGTTTCACTCATTGATCATTACCATCGTTTTCTCCGTAACAAAATCAAATCCGTGCAAATCACTAGCAATATCGATTTCTGACGTCAAACTATTTCTGCATATCATTCCGCTCCGCATGCCCCACAGGATAAATACAGGCACTAGCATACGGGTCATCCTATATAATCAGGCTGTTAGGGGTATGAATTCCAGGTAAGGCTGGTGTCAGAGTCCGCGATCCGTCGCAGGTTTCGCGATTTTCGCGATTCACGCGACGGGTCACGGAAATCACAAGTGCCCGATCAATACTGCAAGGTGTTCTCCAATCCTGCCGCCACTTCTGCTTGATAGTGATGGCTGAATGACGACTGCTCATGATTCCACTTGTTTCATATTCAGTGTTTCAAATGTTCACACACTTGCAATTTTTGCGATCCGTCGCTCGCGAAACCTGCGTCGAATCGCGGACTCTGACACCAGCCTAAGACGGAAATTGTTCATGCATTTCGAAGTCTCTCCTCCCCGCCTGAGCTTTAGTCCTGTTAAAAACGTGTGAAACGTCTCCTCAATTGAGGAGGAGAGACTCCGAGGTACATGAGCAATTCAAAGGATTTTTTACGCGGTTTTGAAAGCAATACCACCACAATGTCCCCGTTCCTCGATACGCCTGAGTATCGCAATATAGTGCAACAACACAATGAGTGGAGCAGCACCTTTCCTTCCATGTCTCAATTCTGGAGATTTCAAAATTTTAAATCATTTGCAAAATAAGCATGCAGCCAAAGGCCGCGTTCATAGTTCGCGACTCCGGAGATTAGGATAGTACGCGACAATGAAAAACATATGTATTGACGGGAGATTAGGATAGTAGATTAGGATAGTAGTAGATTAGGATAGTGCGCTGACAAGATTAGATATGTATTGATCTATTCGCTTGAAGTCGCCCAATCTACTACTCTCCAGCGATTTCAATCGATACGTATCCAATCTTGTCAGCGCAATCTCCTACTCTACTACTATCCTAATATCCTGTCGCCTACTATCCTAATCTCCCGAGTCGCGAACTATGAACGCGGCCAAACACATCATGCTAGAGCTAGTATGCTACATTTTTGCTGTAACTGCAGCCACTGCTTCATGTGCTGGAAAAGTCTTCGTCTTCTTCAGAACAACGGCAGACGATGACAGCCGATTCCAGAGATTAGCAGATTATGCGGGAGCGAAAAAAATGTGCATTGATTGGGAGATTAGGAAGTTGGGAAGATTAGAAGTTCGCGCTGAAAGGGCAGAAACAAGAAGGACATGACCGAAGACGCCTAATACTCCATTTTTCCAAACTGTGAAGTACGAACGCAACCTGACACTCTTCGAACTCGAACTGCGCTATAATAATTCGACCAATGAACCACCAAACGTAGAAGATAGGGATTTTGAAGAACACTTTGATTTAAAATGAGGACGAAACTGCATCAAATTGTGTAAAAACGGTTTAGAGTAGGTATTAAACTGTAACTAATTACTCAAATAATGTTCAACCAACCCCAAAGACAAAGAACTTGAAAGCATTTCGTTCTTTTCCTTTGACGATCTTGTCGACAACCGTTTTTCGCCTAGTCACTTCAACTTCTCGCCTTGATGCTTGGCTGGGGGTCGGCAATGAAGACCTAAAGGAATATGCCACTAGATAGCTGGAATTTAAAAGCTCAGAAAATTGGACTGGGAGCCTACTTCAATAACTACTAGAAAAGAGGTTACATACGGGTGTTCCAACAGTTCCAGGCGGCTTCGATGATGTTGGTTGAGCCTTGCTTCCACTGTTCGGAGATGGAGCAGGCGTAGGTGAAACTTAAAAGCACAGTGTGGGAGGACGTCAGAAACCAACATACAAAGAAGACAACCATTTAAAGAAAGTAAATAAACCCATTTTTCCAGGTGTTATAGCCTGCTCCCTATATCACTTCCCCCTCCACTGTTCCCGTTAATCAATCCAAGCAGAGCTGCGTAGCGCTATGCAGACTTGGCTCTCAACACCGGCATGCTTGATATACTGCGAACGCTGTCACAACCTACTATAACCGAGACACCTCTTACTGAAGTGTAGTACCTCATGATAAGACTACGACTTGAACTGCTTTTAAAGTGAAAAGCGCGGTTCAACGAGCCACAGCTCAACGAAACTTCCCATACTAGCTAAGAAAAACCTATATACAAGAGCCCAGCAGTAAAAGTAAACAAAAAATCTCTCAGCTTGCTACTTTAAAATGGAAGATCGTTAGAATATCCTAGCATTTAGTGATTGATTCGGACACCAACAAAATTAACGTAAATTCCAACTTTTGGCTCGAGCAAGCGTTTTTTCCGTTGTAGGACACCGTCCACGGCTTATGTGATCGCCGTAACGGAATAGTATTGAGTGAACGAGTACGTTACTGCGCCACCACCGAATCAAGCGCACCCTGAGCTCAGCGATTGTTATTTCATTTGAAAAAAGATACCCTACCTAACGTTTGAGAGGACTGGGAAGAACTCGCCGCAGAGATACAGCCCTCTTGCAACGTTATTAGTGACGGTGAAGGCTGGAGGGGTGTTGACAAAGTTGACGAAGAAATAGACTGCGATGGAGCCTAAACAAAAATGTGAATACTGAGCCTAAAAACCACATTGGGAGACTCACCTTCCCGAACCCGTTGACTTGGACATGAAGAGGTCGTTGAACATCACTAGAACCCTGATAATCGGCAACCGCATCTCTGTTCGGTAAGCCGTTAACTTTCACATCCGATTGTTGGCCACTTTTATGAACTATTCGTGGCGAACAAAGGGCGAACATAGAAGTATCCTGCTCTTTCAGAAGCATGTTCGCATTCGTGATTTGGAGCTTATCATGTTCCATCACAGTATTTGCAAGAGCTTCGAGAAAGTCTGGCTTTAATCCCATAAGATAGTGACTTTCGCGCTGCGATGTTATTCCATCGACGCATCCTACAGGGACATCACCATGAAAGCATACCACTTAAGGCGTGTCAAAATCTGAAATTGTGACTTGGATTAAGCCCCAAAACATAGTACCGAACCGAAAACACGTCAAGCAAAAGCAATAACGCGTTGAGCATGGGCTAGCAGGACTATCAAGAACGTTCCAAGAACTGCTAAACACTGCCTCAGTTCTACACTAGAACAACGTCGAATCTGGAGATTCATATCAATTAGGAGACGTTGGCAAGGTGCCAATACTCGTTTATTAATCAATTTGGATCGGCTACTGATTAATTACTGCTACAGATCTCCAAATAGTGCTGAACCTAGCATAACAGTAGCATCCATTTAGATGTTGGCAAGACGCCAATAAATGACTCATGATTGAAAGAAAGAAAAAAAAACTAGAAAAAAAAGAAATGAAATTGAGCGGTTTCGCAAACAATGCAGGAAGTCAACCATGTGCTTCCAGTGCAATCTTTACCATAAAAAATTCAAATTTAAGCTCATAACGATCAATTCGGAACAAAATCTTTCGGTAAGTGTTCGTATTCTATTAGTCATTCCTTTTTTATAAGGTTTCAAAAAAATGGAGTGAAATCACAATTGTAAACGAGCCTATTGATTGCTAGTTTGGTTTCCCGCACGAATCAATACGCGGCTTTTTATAAGAGTACGCAATCTCACTACGCGAACTACCTGGTCATTTGCAATTTATTGTGTATTGAAAAGAAAATTAAGGGTTACTTATATTCCCTGTTACAGTCCAAGTCACTGAGCTAACAAGATTCAGTGCATTCAACCAAAACTAGAATAAAAAAAAAACAGAAGAAACTTGAGATATAACATCGAGGCTATGAAACCAAACCCATTTCAGGGGTAGTACTAGATGAGTACAAGTTTGGTGATTACTTTAGATTTCCCACCCAATAAGGCACGAGGTGAACTCATATTGCACTTTAATTAGGAATGACGAAATATAAGTTATAAACTTTCTCATAGTATTTTTTGACAGTACGAGAACCTCGGCCTGCTAGTAGACTGCCTTGGATGTGAGTCACAAGTCAGAAGAGACACAGTAGATCTGCAACATCGTCAGGACTCTTGACAGGTTCATCCCCGCCTGCAGCCCCGACAGCGTCGCATTTCGAAGTGGCCATCGCGCGCGGCTGCGGCGCGTTGCAGGCCACCGCCAAAAAGCTTGAGTCGGTCCCTTGTGGAATGCCTGCGCTGTCCTTTTTACGCGAAAGTATAGACGCGATTCAAATGGGAATCAACATCTTGTCACAGTTTCAATTTAATTCAGGGTTATGAACTAGTTAACTTTTGGATTTTGAGGTCTTCGAGCGTGATTTGTCATTGCTATTGATAAGCATCAGATTCTCATCATAGTTCTCTATTAATAGCGGGTTCAAGTCTTGTTCACATAGCTTTTATCTCTGGCTTTGTTTGTTTTCATCATGTTAGTTGTTTTGTTGCACAAAAGAAGTGAAATGTGATGGGGATGAAGGGATGAAAGCATCTGTCATCATCTGACCTTTGGTTCTATTCGTTAGCAGTTTGCTCTCTTTCATTCACAGTTCATTGCGCATTCGCTCAATAGCTTTTTGGCACTATTCAACTATTACGACCCCAAAAACTCAAAATTTTATTTTTCGTCGAAACTTCGCCTATAGGGGTAATTCGGTGCCCTGATCACGAAAATGAGGTTCATTTTTGGCGCTGGCGCCATTTGGCGCCAAGGGTGTTTTCACCAAATTCGCTGTAAACTTGCACATAGGGGTTATTTAGGGTCCTGATTACGGATATGTCATTCGTTTTTAGCATTTCCACCGTTCAACGCACATTTTCCATTCTCCTGGGTCCTCTCACTTGTACATAATACTAGGACTGAGCCTAGAAGGAGGGAGGACTCCGGGGTGGGTGAACCAGTCAACATGTGGCAAACGTTAAAGCGTATAAGATCACAGGATAAGTGTTATTCACTTCGGAGCACTCTCCTCCTCAAAGGCTTAGTCCCGATCGCGAGGTGATCAGTGAGAGGGCGCAGACGAGCGGAAAACAGGCGCACACAGGCGCTAAAAGGAAAAATGAATGTTATATTCGTGATCAGGACCCCAAATAACCCCTATGTGCAAGTTTACAGCGAATTTGGTGAAAACACCCTTGGCGCCAAATTGGCGCCAATTGGCGCCAAATGGCGCCAGCGCCAAAAATGAACCTCATTTTCGTGATCAGGGCACCGAATTACCCCTATAGGCGAAGTTTCGACGAAAAATAAAATTTTGAGTTTTTGGGGTCGTAATAGTTGAATAGTGCCGACTTGAAGTATTTCACCTTGTTGAAATGGCGCATGTCCTGCTCAAAACTACTCCCATCTCTGAATAGCTGCCATAAAAACCAGATTTTACTTCTGTAGAAGTTGTGTAAGCCATTTCTACCGTACTGTCATGAAGCTCAGTAAAAGTTCCGCCTTTTAGCTCTTCAAAATAACACCCCTATGTTTGGTCTATCTTTGGGCATCGCCTTCTTGAGATCCTTAACTCTTCAAGCTCACAAGTGTTTCCTTTGCGAATCTGATTTTTCAATTCGGCAACTCTCAAGTGGTAGCTCCAGAACTTGGACTCGAAAAGATCTTTTATCTCAGATTATTGGAACATTTTGGCTGTAATGTGTCACAAAAAAGTTTATAAGATGCTCTTCAACTTCGACTTTTTAGGAATGAAACTGGATGAACGAAGAGTGCGAGTTTACGAGTTATGGTTATGTATTCATCATTTCGTTCATTTTAGAGCCTTTGCTCAGTATTCCACGACCGCTTTGATTTTCTCGGCGATTTCTCACCTCCAATGACTTTCAGCTTACGTATAAGTTGTGGTGACTGATTCATCTCTCTTTAGCTCCTTTTTATGCTCGTTGTGTCTTACATTTCTCTCTCTCAAAACCAAGCCTCGCGACAACCAATGCGACACCAAATAGACTGGACCTGATTTCGTGCAGTCACCTGCGTGCCGAGAAAACCTGCTACTTACATAAAGGTGAAGGGTGCATTGAATGAGATAGATTCTTCTAGAATTTTAGCGCTGCTCCTTGTTTCCCTGCCTTTTTATTCTCACATTTTAGCTTATGCTAAGATCATTCATTGTTGACGCAGCATGCAATAAATACAACGCCGTGCTGTGTAGAGGATGAGACAAAACTACGGAAACCAAGCAAGAGCGCAGTACTTTCAACTGTTGATCGCCTAGTGCTTCCAAAATCCTTGCCTTTTTTACTTATATGATCTGATATTCTCAATTAGATTCCCGCAAATGCCGCCGCCGGCGTAGAGGTGTGAAGAATTTTGTCTTGGCAATTCATGAAGTTTACGGAGCTGGTAAACCTTCTGACCGTTACGGATTAAGAATCCACTGTGTCTTTTAATGGCAATCAAGCGGCTTCAGTCACCGGGCGAAGGTCTTTCAGGGCGTGACGAGCTTTTCGAAAACGGTCTTTTGCATGATATAGGGGCACATGCGGGAACCACAGAACCATGTTTAATTTTTCCTCAACGGCCCTCTGAATACCAGAAAAGGAGATCCCTATTTCGATTCCTCTCGTGGGTAAGAACAAATTTTTTCCATTCGATTGACGTGCCAAAGGGTGTGTAAGTCCCGCTCCTCCAAATTGGTGGCCACTGGGAACTGCTCACTTTTGTGAGCTGAGCTGATCGCGGACATTCGAATGCAGGCGACAGGCCCCTCGTGATGTGACAGGCCGGCCTACGAACACCCACGTCACATCACAAATGTCAATGTCGCTATATGATCTCGAGATAATGCTACGGCGTCCGCGGGAGCCGACGCGCACTCGCAAAGCCCGGCGAGTGTGAAAAGTATGCGAGGGTCCTCCGGTGCAAGGACGGCATCGGGGGGCAACTAGGCTAGTCCAAAAGTCCCGCAACGTATGCAAGACTCGCGTCGCAACGTTGAATGTTGGCACGTTGTCGGGCCGCTCTTTTGAGTTGGTAGAGACACTGGAGCGCAGACGAATTGATCTCTGTGCTGTGCAAGAAACGAGGTGGTCCTGCTGCAAATCGAAGACCCTGGCCGTGGCCATTCTTTGCGGCAGTCCCGGGACAACTAACGGTGTCGGTGTTATCGTTTCTGAACGTTTCCGTGACTCGATTGTCAGCGTTGAACGTTACGATGACCGCCTAATGAAGATCGTTGTCGCTTTTGAGCAACGTCAATATCACTTCTTCTCTGCGTACGCTCCGCAGACAGGCTGCTCCGAGAACACGCCAAGGACCAGTTCTTCGAACCTCCAAGGACAGTTCTAGCATATAGGATGACAAATCACACTGAAGTAATCGCAGGACCCTAATGTGGCCGGTGACTAAAATCGTTCCGGGAACGGTACAAAAGAATGGTTACATCTGCCATTTGGCGGATTGGTATGGTCACGCTAAACTGTACCATTAGTAGAACCCCGCCGATGGCGAGAGAATTCTAGAGTATGCAAACTCGCACAACCTCACCATCGTGAACACAAACTATCGCAAACGTGACTCCCACCTCATCTCGTTTTACAGTGGGGATACCAGAACGCAAATTGATTTTGTCCTCGTCAGGCAGCGTGATAGAGGGCTAGTGACGGACGCGAAGACGGTGCCGTACGAGACGGTCGCCACGCAACACCGACCACTGATCTGCACCCTGAGGATCACTCCTCCGAAAGTAAAGCAAGTTGAACGGTGCGGGCCTGCAAGGATCAAGTGGTGGCGACTGAAAGAAAAAGAATCTGCGCTGTTTTCCCGCATTCGCTTACCGACAGTAACGACCGTCGACGAAACGTGGGAAAGTGCCACCGAAGCGATAGTCCGTGTCGCTCGCTCCGAACTCGGCACCACACAAAGCCTGGGCGTCGGAAAATTGACAAACAAACATGGCTGTGGACGGATACTGTCAAGGAAAAACTGCGAGAGAAGAAAAGATTCTATCATACGTTCCTCAACGACAAAACAGCCGAGAACTGGGAGAACTACCAGAAGGCGAAGAAGGCTGCAAAGAAAGCCGTGGCTATCGTCAAAGCTGCTCACTTCGCCAGCGTTAGCGAGAAACTCGAGACGCGCGATGGCGAACGATATGTCTACAGACTAGCCAAAGCTCGCCATCGCCAAACCGAGGATGTCGAGAAGTTTTTCGGCATTAATGACGAGAACGGGCGGCTCCTAATGGACCGCAAGAAGGCAGTAAAGCGATGGCACGACTACTTCGAAAGAATCTCGACAGTAGAATTCTCACATCCGCCAATCCCTTCTGCCCCTCCCGTCTACGGTCCCGTCTCGAAGATAACTGTGGAAGAAACTGAAGCGGCGCTGAAGAAGATGAAGACAGGTAAAGCAACGGGTCCCGACGACTTGGCAGCCGATCTGTGGAAGTCACAGTGCTGGCATCCTGCGGAGTGGTTGACGAAGTTCTTCAACCAAGTTGTTGCAGAAAAGAAAGTGCCTGCGAGTTGGTGCCAGAGCACGACGATTCCCATCTGGAAAAAGAAGGGCAGCCCCGCAGACTGCACGAGCTACCGTCCAATTCGTCTACTTTCCCACGCCATGAAGATATTTGAGCGAATTATAGATCGTCGTATTCGCGACATAGTGCAGCTCGCCACGAACCAGTGTGGATTTGTAAGCGGCGTTAGTACCATCGATGCCACTACATGCCGCTCGTCTACTGTTAGAAAAACACCGCGAGAAACGGAAGCCTCTGCATTTTGCCTTCCTAGACTTAGAAAAGGCTTTCGATCGCGTTCCGCGTGATGTAATATGGTACGCTCTGAGACAACGTGGTGTCCCCGAAGAACTTATTGAGTGGGTTCGCATGCTATACTCGAGCTCAAAGAGCCGAGTGCAAACGTCAGCAGGAACCTCAATGGAATTCCCCATCTCTGTTGGGGTGCACCAAGGCTCTGCACTATCCCCACTCCTTTTCGTTGTCGTCATGGATGCCATATCACGAGACCTCCAGAAACCGGCTCCATGGACGCTCCTCTATGCCGATGACGTGATGCTCGCCTGCGAAGACAAAAACTCACTCGAGCAGCAAGTGCAAGCTTGGGCCGATCGCCTAGCGATGTTCGGACTCAGGTTGAATGTCAAAAAGACCGAGTACTTGACAACCGACTTGAGCGAACACAGTTCGGTAAGAATTAACGGCACAGAGCTATCACGCACGACCACGACCACGTTCAAGTATCTTGGATCGGTAATAGCGTCAGATGGTAGTATGGGTACTGAAGTGAGTTCACGCGTGAGTGCTGCATGGTCCAAGTGGCGTTCTATGACGGGTGTTCTCTGCGACAAAAAGATTCCAGAACGCCTGAAATCGAAGATCTATAGAACCGTCATAAGACCGGTGGCAATGTACGGCGCTGAGTGCTGGCCCACGACTAAGGAAATGGAAGCCCGCCTCGGTGTAATGGAGACGAAAATGCTGCGCTGGACGGCTGGTGTCACGCGTTTAGATCGTATTTGTAATGATACCATACGCGATCGCTTTGGTGTAGCTCCTATTGCTGATAAGATGCGGGAAGCTCGACTTCGATGGTATGGTCATGTGCTTCGTGGAAACGATGACACTGTGCGTAAGATGAGCCTCAACATCGATGTGCCCGGAAAACGGCCTAATAACAGAACGTCCAAAGCGCCTGGCCTTGAATACCAGTGCACCCATGGACTTGAAGTTTAGCTTTAATCTGAACATCCAATCAGGGCATTGAATAGGGAAAATTCGCGCAACACATCATAAACAGAAACAGCCGACCCTTGCCACCTAGTGCGGAACAAACGTCTAAAAGAAAAAAAAGAAGAGTTGACGTGCCAAAATTCGCGCAAAATGGAGTTAGAACCAACCAGAACAATCAGAACTCCATTTTGCGCGAATTTTGGAACGTCAACTCGAAATGCAAAAATTTGTCACCAAGAGGAATCGAACTAGGGACCCCCTTTTCTGGTATTCAGAGGGCCGTTCAGGAAAAATTAAACATGGTTCTGTGGTCCCCGCATCTGCCCCTATATCATGCAAAAGACCGTTTCAAAAAGCTCGTCACGCCCTGAAAGACCTTCCTGGTAAGGACACATGCGATCAGTTTGCGCTGAACATGGCTCCCTCATTGCGGTAGAGTGATGACTCTCGAGTTCGTGAGACTCATGCAAGGGGTCGCTTAGAAACTTGAAGAGAAAGGCTACAAGCGTGTAAAAGCTCAATTTTTTCTCCATGAAACCAAAAGATAAAGACGATTTCAACCTGACAGTCAGGTTTTGCTGTTTGCCCATAACTTGAGCAGCGTAAAAACAAACAGATCCACATATGCAAAGTTCGCTACAGTTCAAGTGTAGGTCGGCCTCAAAGTTTCTTGGTCCTGGCTGAATATACCTCTCACTGAGAGAAATTATCCGCAAATGTTCATCTCCAAGAAATGCGCATTAGCAAGTGTCCAACTCCGTAATCAATCTGCCTTGCATTCCAACATAAAATCAAAGGTTGGCCTCAGCTATGCTTTAGGTCAAAATGACAATAGGCAATGTGAACAAGGCGGTAATCCGGCCCTAAGCGGGTCTGAAATGTCGAATTTCATCTGTATATCATTCCTGAACTGGCAATCGCTTTCCACGTGTCTTCGCTTAAATTCTTATTAAGTTTCTCGAGTCCAATGCAATATTTTAAGGCTAGCCCGTGATTCTGATCTCATTGAGCAAACCGCGGCAATTTTGTGATGACGGAGCGTCCAGCTTACCATCTTCCACCGACATTCAGTCATTCCCTCTGAACGTCCAGCTACGCGTCGAAGTAGTACGATGTTCTGATTAGGAAATACTTCTTCTTCTGGACAACAACAAGTCAATAATAGCTGTCTCCCATCTCGAGCTCTAATCACTTCTATGCGGTATTTTTTAGTTCCCATAGTTTCACTCCATCTTGTACAATATTGGAGATTATTCAGCTTTCGTTTCGATGTGTTCATTGTCTCTTGATTGCTAAATGGGTTCAGTAGGTAGACTTCTTGCAGATGGTGAGGATGGAGCAAGATAATATCTTAACAGCGTCCGCCAAACGATTCGTCACTAATGCTTTGGACGCTGTTCGGGTTCGCTTTGGTGGGAATATTGCTGTTCTTGAAATGTGTACATTAAAAACAGCCTTCAGTTTAGTTCCAGTTTCATTGGGAATTCATAGCTGATTAGAAAGCTTGCTCCATAGTTTCCTTGCACATCAACATTTTTGGTGCCAAAGTAAGCTTCAGAATATACGTATATTTGTGTAAATATTTATAATGTATTGAAATGCCTTTTCCGATGCGTGCCGCGAGCTGTTTTATTTCAGAGAGACGATCTATGGATATGATGACCTACATATTAACTTAAATTATACTGATAATGTCGATGTTTTTATATCCAGGAAATTCATTTCACAGCCGTTTCTAGTGTTCGAAAAAAGACATGAAGTGATATTACTTCCGTGTAGTTGCCTCTAGTCAGTTGATAGTTACTAGCAATACCCATCTTTCAAAGGAGGACGACGTCATGGCAAAAATTAAAGATCAACTCCCCAGTGATCAGATGGGCATGATGGTTGAGTCGAGCGATGCGTTTCAAGTGCTTCTATCTAAGCAGAAGAATATGAAGCCGTTCGGAGACCTGATTTTAAAGCTGAACTCAGGTCAGCCTCCAGCTTGGATTTCGTGAAAAGCTATTAAGTAATGAGTATATTACAATCCGTTCTAACACGGACTTCGAAAGCAGAGCAGTTGCCATTTCTGTTTTTCGAAGATTTAAGGAAGTGGTTGCAATAATCTATTACGTTAACATGGGACAGTTTAGGGGAGAAGTGCTACGAACTTTACAAAATTTCGGAGAGCTCTCCTGATTTTGACGCCTACTTGGCCAGGGTTCAGTCGCTGGCCCTGTGGTATATCGATGCCGCCCAATACACGGACAATAGCGATCCTTTATGGTTTCACTACTTCCTGTAAGTTTTTTTTTCATTTATTTATAGGCACTTCCTATCCATGTCACTCTTCTGTCCTATTTTCATTCCTTATATAGTTTCTAAAGGAATAAATAATTTGTTATTCTATAGGTTTTCCAGTCGTCCCTCAAGAAAAGGTTTCAGATTTGAGTCAAGAGCCCACGACGCGGGAGACGGGTCTCGTGTGTACTCTCTCGCTGGATATGCATCTTTATACAGATTCTACGCATACCCGGATCGAGTGCGACCACGCATAGCACAAATTATGCTTCTTCCTCCGTACAGGTATATTCAGTTTTTAGTTTCTTTTATAAAAAGTTGAAGAACATGTAGTAAGTTTTAGTTTTTTAATCTTTTATAATATACACACTCCAATTCTTTTACCTCCCTTCCTTACTGAAGAGCACGGGGGGAGGATATCGGTGTCAGTTTGTTTTCCGTATAAGGGCACGTGCGAAACGGAAGACAAACTACTTCTTTGATAAAAACCCT